CCTCAGGGACAGAGAGGAGTGGAGGGGACAGAGAAGAGTGGACGGGACAGAGAAGAGCCCCAGGGACAGAGAGGGACCCCAGGGACAAGAGAGGAACCTCAGGGACATAAAGGAGCTGCAGGGACAGGGAAATGCCCACACCCAGGGGCACAGAGAGGGCTCTGCCGGCTCTGAGCTCTCACCTCCCGTGCAGAGATGCTCCGGGGGAAGCGGGTGATCGTGACRGGAGCCAGCAGYGGCATCGGGGAGCAGATGGCATATCACCTGGCACGGATGGAGGCTCACCTGCTGCTCACGGCACGGACAGAGGCCAGGCTGCAGAAAGTAAACGGCAAGCGGAGAGAGCCGGGCTGGATGAGGATTGTCATCCTCATGGCAATGCCTGACACCCTCCAGCTCCACCCCAGCGCTTCCCCAGCCCAAGGCAGGAGCAGCCTGGCTCTGCACAGAGCCCTCCAGCCCCGTTCTGTCACCGCAGGTCGTGGAGCGATGCCTGGAGCTCGGCGCTGCCTCCGCCCGCTACATCAGCGGCTCCATGGACAGCCCCACCCTGCCCCAGCAGCTGCTCCGGGAGGCTGAGAACACCTGGGGTAGGTGCTGTGGGGCTGCCCCTCCTCACCCAACACCTCCCAGCCACCAAGAGGCTCTTTTGGAGGTGATGGGCAAACGGGCTGTGTCCCCAGGTGGCCTCGACATGCTCATCCTAAACCACATCGGCCAGGGCGGCGTCCGCTTCTTCGACGGGGACGTGGAGCACGTCCGACAGCTCATGGAGATCAACTTCATCAGCTACGTGGCCATGACCACGGCTGCCCTGCCCATGCTGAAGGAGAGCGAGGGCAGCATCGTGGTGGTTTCCTCTGTGGCCGGTGAGCTCCTGGGGCGAGATCCCCCTGCCCACAGCCCTTTCTCTCCTGCCAGGGACCCCTGCCCAGCTCCTCTTTAAAAGGCAGAGAGCTGGGACTCAGGGTGAGCCTGTGATTTAGATCTTGGGTGAGCTATTCAGGTGCTCTGGGGGATCTACAGCTGATATTTTGTCCTGTCAGTCTCTTTGCACCCACGAATCACCTTCACAGGCTGCACCACAGCTTATTTCATGTGCATGTCACATACTGCACATGCATTTGCATTTTATTTCTCTCAAGCATTCCTGACATCCTATTCCATCGCCCTAAATCCCAACACTGTGGCTACAGGCAGGGCAAGAGGAARGRGGAGCTGCTGCCTGCCCRGTGCCTGAACCCCAGTGCTGTGTCTGTGCTCCAGGCAGAACTGGTGGCCCATTTATTGCTCCCTATGCCGCAACCAAGTTCGCCTTGGACGGATTTTTCAGCTCCTTGAGACAGGAATTCATCATGGACAAGGTCAATGTCTCCATCACGCTCTGCATCCTGGGCTACATCAACACAGGTAAGCTCGGCCTAAGTGGAGCCCAGCCCAGTGCAGGCACAGCCAGGCTGAGCCCATCCCCATTCCCTGTCCCCAGCCCAGTGCAGGCACAGCCAGGCTGAGCCCATC